CTGCTTCGCTAGTTGTCCTCCAGGAGCGTTTTCATTTCTCAGTAACGCTCCAGAGATACAAAAATTCAAAAGCGTCACTCATACCTTTCATTAGTTTAGACCAGCAGACATCTCACCGAGAGCCCGGGACTGGCAGAGGCGGAGAGAGCGTCTGTGTGGCCAGATACAAGGCTGGTCACCTCTAAGATGCCATTGTCCTCTGCAAACTCCACCTGGCATTTAATAGCCTGTGAAAAGGTCCATTCCCTTGTATGTAGGTCAAATATCAAATTCTCAAGGCTCCCAGCTGGCTTAAAAATGTCAACAATCAATCTTTCTACTTATCAAGCATTTTATATTTCCCCGTTTAAACAGGAAATGTGCAGAGGCATGGCCCAACCTCCTGCTTAATCCAAGAACCAGGCCTTAAGGATTGTGTGTTGGTGATTTAGCAACCTGTATGCGTGGGCATCTCCTTGGGTCAATCAAAGCGTTTGTGGAAAGGGTTTAAATCCTATAAAAGTAATTCATTTGTTTATCTGCCAAATTATAATATTCATTTGTTTGTGTAAACCCACCAGTGACCAGTCATTAATATGAACCACAAGAAACTATTTCAAGTAGGATTTGGGCCCAGACATAATTTCTAGTTTGAATATGATATATCGTACATAGGAGGATTGCAAGAAACCGTAAATAATTCTTAATTTCTACATTGGGTCTATGTAAAGATTCTTTTGCTGTTTACAAAAACAAAAAACAAACAAAGACAAAACCATCACTACCAGGAGGCGGGGAAGTAGGTATCCAGGGAGGTAGAGCTGGGCCTTGGAACAGCGCTGTCCTTTTTTGTATCTGTCACAAAATAAAAGGAGGTGCCCCTTTCTGTCTGCAGTTGTCATTTGGCAGATTTTTAAAAAACAATTTATTTGGGGGTTTGGGTACACATTTCGATCCAGGTGTCCAGTGCAGAGTGGTCCGGCACCTGGCAGGAAGTGAGTGGTCATTTCACCCCCAGGATGGAGGGTGGGGAACGCAGGGCTCATGGGGCCAACGCGACCATCGTCCATCCCATGCAGGGACACGGGCGGCAGGAGAAGGGCCCATGGTCTGCACCGGGATTTACCTGTGCTCCCGGCCAAGGTGCTCAGTGTTGTCACTGCCAGCTCCCTGGGAAGCTGGCGTTCTCCCAGGTTGAAAGAGAAGACCTCAGTCTTTGTGACCCTGAGGGCCGGGGACTGCTGCTGCCTCCACGCCACACACGGAAAGAAGAGCAAGGATAGGAGGGGCCCCGCTGCTGGTCCCCAGAGGGTTCGCCTCCGGCCCTCTTGTCTGATACCACCAGCTAGCTGCCTGCGCGGCACTGAAGGACACCAGGATCGCTCGGGTGTGTACATGGAAGACACAGAAACACATCGAAAGTGGCCAGAGGACCTTCCGGGCCTCATTTGAGGAGTCCCCAGGAGTCCTCTTGCCTAAAGTTTCCCTGTCAGTGCCCATCAATGGCCTGAACTCTTGCAGCTTCTTAAATTTGCCTTAAGACAAAGGAAATTCATGTGGGAAGAGCTCTGACAGTGAAGCTTAGACATTCAGACTGATGCTTTTGTAAAATGAATTACTCCCCACAGCCTGTCAATGGGTGAATGGAGGCACAAAATGTGGAATATTATTCAGCCTTGAAAAGTAAGGAATTTCCAAAACGTGCTATAACATGATTGAACGTCGAGGACATTATGCTAAGTGAAACAAGCCAGATACAAGAGGGCAAGCACTGTAGATTAATAATTCCAATTGTACGTGTTACCCAGAGTTGTCAAATTCAACCAGAATGGTGGTTGCCAGGGCTGCTTCCACCTCTTGGGTATCGTGGATAATGGTGCTGCTATGAATTTAGGTGTACAGATATTGTTTCACATCCCTGCTTCCCCCATTCCTTTGGATTTATACCCAGTGGGATTGCTATATTATATGGTCATTCTATTTTTAATTTCTTGAGGAACCACCGGACTGGTTTCCACTGTGGCTATACCATCTTACATTCCCACCAATAGTGCACGAGTGTTCCAATTTCTCTACATCCTCACCGACATGAGGATGATTGTATGTTTTTTTGACTAGTACACACCCCTTCGGGTGGTGGGTGGAGGGCCAGTGTTATTTTATTATTACGTTGTTATCATTAAACTGTTAACTAGTATGACAATTACACTGTCACGGTTGCTATGGCTGTTTAAAGATGCTTATTCTTCTTTTGAGAAGTTTCGTGTTCATGTCCTTTGCCATTTTTGATTAGGTTGTTGGATTTTTTGTTGCTGATTTGCCCAGAGTTCTAAATAGATATCAGCCTTTACCTCAATGTGTAGCCCTGCAAAAATTTCATCCCAAGTTCTGTGGTTCTGTTTGCTCTCGTTGACAGTTTCTTGGCTTGTGCAGCAAGCGGAGTTTTTAATTTCATTAACGCGTCATTTTTTTACTTGTTGGCTATTCCGTGGCATTGCCCTTTGGGATCTTCCTTCATAAACCTGTCTCCTACGGGCCAATGCTTCAACGAGTATGTTCAACACTGTACGCGTGCGTCAGAATGTCTAATCAGTTCGCACCGCGGCGGGGGGACATAAGTTCAGTCTGTGTACAACGTGAGTTCAATCTGCTTGCGAGAGCTCGACAGGTGTGGGGTCTCTGTTGTCAAGTCTTCGTCAGCATGCTGGCTACTGGGCCAGTTTTCCCCAGCACCCATTTATTGAATAACGATTCTGTCAGCTGCCTATGGGTTTTTGTCTGCTTTGTCAAGCACATCGCAGGTCGCTGCTTATAGTGCAGGATAGGTTTTATATCTGGCGTTCTCTGTTCACTGGTGTCACTGGTCAACACGCCGTGTCCTGTTCCTTGATCGCGCCACTCATCAAGCTGTTTTCAATGACTATAGCCTTGCCTCAACGTGAAGTCTGGTAAGATTGACCTATTTTGTTTTATGCTAGCGATTCGATTTGCTAGTATGCGCCAGCGTATCTCTCTGGTTCCATACGGACCGTATAGAATTAATTTTATCTGATATCCCTTGAACAAAGGTGATGATGATGATTCTTGGATAGGAATGCATTTGACTCTGTAGGTCTCTTTAGGTATACTCAAGCGACATCTTAACAATGTAGATTCTGCCAACCCGGCCCAGTGAACATCGGTATATTCTTTACTGCTGTTATTCCTCTGCGGATTTCCTTCTTCAGTGTTCATACGCTTCTCCTCTGTAGAGGGGCTCTTTCACCTCTTAGCTTAAATGTGTGTCCACGGTTACTCTCGATTTCTTTGTTGCCTATTTTGAGGGATTGAGTCTCTTGATTTGGTTCTCGCTTTTACTGTCGGGTGTGTATGCAATGCCGTCCCTGATTTTCCTGTTGTGTGACTTTTGTATCCGCTGAGATCTTATCCGAGCATTCATGTTATCAGATCAACACGAGCCTCTTGGTTGACGATCCTCGGGGTTTTTCTAGTATAACACATCACTCATGTCATCAGGACAGACGTCCGAGCAGTTGGCGGATCTTTCTGCTCCTATTCGCGCCCACCCTTATTCCTCTTGTCTGACTCGCTGTACAACGGACTTCCAGCACTGATGTTGAACAGAAGTGGACAAACGCTGGCAACCTTGTCTTAGTTCATTCTAACTGGGAATGCTTTCATCTTTCCACCGCATTCAGCCTAGTATACTGGCTGTAGGTTTCTCTCGATTGGCTTGTATCATCTTTTCAGGTAAGCCCGTCCGGCGGATTGTGTGGTTTGAGCATCCTTTATCATGCAAACGGTGTTGGCCAGCAGCATCCACTGAAAAATATCCAACATCTCCTGAATCTCAGAAATCAAACTCCAACAACCACGATGACGTTATCATCCTAACCCGAGTGAGATGGCTTTACTCATCGAAAAGTCCAAAACAACAAATGCTGGCGTGCGATGCGGAGGGTAAGAACACGCGTTGCTCCTAATACTCGCTGGGGTGGGAAGCTGCAAACTTTTCAAGCCGTCTGTGGAAAGCAATATGGAGATACAAAGCGAGTACAAGTAGAGTCTACCCGATTTGATCAGCAATTCCACTACTCGCCGGCGCATGTACAAAAGATCAAAAGCTATTTTAGAAAAGACACGTTCGCACTGATGTTTATAGCAGCACAATTGCACCAATGCAAGCTATGGAACAACCCAAATACATCCATTCATGACGCGGACTTAAACCAATGTCGGTATAATGTACTCCATCCCCGGCAGTACTATCAGCATTAAAGAAACAACGGTGATAGTACACCTCTTTTACATTCTGGATAAACACCGAACCTATTCCTCAAGCTGGAAGTGAACGTATTCAAGAACTGGAAAAACCAGCAAGCGGACCATGTATCCACCAGTCAATGTGATACAACAGATCAATAAGTGGACACTAGAGTAACATTTATTGATTCAGGAGGCGTGGGGAGGGGGAGGGAGGGCACTGTGTCACTACACACCGCACGAGTAGAGCCGATGTGCAACGTTTGGGGGAGGAAAGTGCTTGAAGCCTCTTAACTCAAAGGCGGGGAGGGGGGCATGGCCCAATATAAGCGTAACATTAACACTTGTACCCCCCGCCGGCATAATACTAAAAAAATAAATTAATAAAGTTTTAATAAAGATAATAGCTTGCCCTCTCTCCCACTTACTCTGCGACCAGATAACAGCAATTTCAAATGCCACCCCAAGTGTGTGGGCAGCCTTGAAGTAGCCAACGCCTGGGCGGAGTCCTCTGCAGGTGGAAACGAGATGGACATCACATCTGGGTGCAGTGGGCGAGTGCCGGCACTGGACACGCGCGCTCCTGCGGCGGCATCGCATGGCTCGTCAGACAACGGGCAAAGCCTAGGAAGTAGATGCCATTACGATCCCCAGCTAACAGGTGAGCGACAAACAGAGCAGGGTTGGCCAGAGGCTTGTCCAATCAGCAGCGGAGAGCGAGGCTGGCCAGAGGTGCCTGGTGAACTCTGGCCTCAGCCCATTTTTTAAATTGTTTTGTTTTCCGGATTCATTAATTGGCTGGTCACATTTGGGGAAAGATGGAAGGCTCCCAGGCTCTGCCCTGAGTGATCGCATGGGAAGGGATGCCACCTTTGAAGCAGGAGATACAGCCGGGGACCCGGATTGGGAGGGAATGCGACCTGTGCTGAGGCTAAGGCCCGCGCGGCGTCCAGGTGGGAGCAGGGCCAGGGGCAACGCCTGAGCTCCTGAGCAAGTGCTGGGCCAGGACAGCAGCTGAGGGACACTGGGGTGAGGGTGAAGCTTGAGTCTGGCGAGATTCCACAGAGAGACCAAAAACATTCACAGAAGCAGGGTGGGACCGGGCGCAGCCAGAGGAGACGGGGAGAGGGTGTCTAAAAGGAAGGCGCTATCCACAGGGTGCCCAGGACCGCACAGAGGCCACGCCACGTGGGACGATGCAGGGCCCATGGATTTGGCCCTGTGGTGGCCCCCAACAGCCTGATGAGAGCGGAGTGGACAGCGTCATGGAGGCCGGGGTGCCACGGTGGCAGGTGCCTGGTGCTGGGAAGGTGGAGGGAGAGAGCAGGAGTGCAGGCCTCTCCTTCCAGAAGCTCAGCTGTGGAGCGCGGAGACATGGGACGGTTCCTGAAGGGTGGGTGTGAGAGTCTTGTGTGGGGAGCGATATTGGGCCAAGGATGGATTATTACTCAGTTTTTGCCTTAACAACAACAACAAAAAGCTGGAACAAACCTGAATTTGCTCGTAGTGAGAGTGGGGGTGAAAGTAGAGGAGCCGAGAGAAAGGGGAGCAACTGAGAGGAAGCCGTGGTGGCCTCTGGAAGGTGGTGAATTGGATCCACAGCGATGGAGCCTGAATAAAAAGAGGAAAGAAGCCCCTTCCCCCTGGGGTGGGAGGAAATTGGTTTATGCTACAGGTTCGCTTGTGAGCAAATGGCCACCGAGGGGGGCGGTGAGTGGGGTGTGGCACTGAGGAGAGAGGTGGACTTCGGATGTGCCACCAAGGAACAGCGGTGAGAGCCGCCTGGGGTCGGGGAGGTGTCCAGAAGCAGAAGGGGCCCCGCCAGGGCCTGAGCGTCCCCTCTGCGGATCGTCCTGGTCAGGGCCCCTCGGCCCAGGTGCGGAAGCACAGACGGTGGGCAGCAAGATCGATCCAGAGCTTCACACTGGGCTCTGGCTACAGTCAAGGGGGCAGATGGCTGTAAAGTGGCTGCTGTTGCAGGAGGGAAAGAATGAAGTGGACTGTGGTGGTTTTAAAATTATGTCCACAAGTTCTTTGATCCTCATCCCTTCGAATTCCCCTCACGCTGAGTGTGCACTGGACTTGGTATTGGCTTCTAAGGACTAGAATGCAGAAGCTGGAACTGTGGGACTTCCAATTGCAGGTCACAAAAGACTTTGTGGCTTCCTCCTCCTCCTTTTCTCCCTGAACCACTTGTTCTGGGGGAGCCAGCAGCCATGTCAGAAGGATGCTCAAGCAGCCCTGGGGAGAGCCCGTGTGGGAGGGATGGATTTTGCAGGATTGAGTCTTGTCAGGGCCCAGCCTCCCCTTCTAGGCAAGTCGGAATCGGAAGCGGGCAGAGCTCACGGCCAAGCACTGGCCCCAGAGAGCTCTGTGTGTTTACCCTGAAGTCCTGCTATCTGCCTCTGTGTCAGTAACCTCACTAAGTTCCCAAGTCTGGGTTTGCCTGCCAGACCAAGTGTTTTTGAAAGGACAGTGGTGGCCCTGGGTGGCCCCTTGCCCCTCCTTGCCTCTCACGTAGGCACACAGGGCCCACAGCCACACCACCTAGGAAATGACAGGAGGGGCAGCATCTGAAGGGAAGAGAACACGACACCACGACAAAGCCAGAAAGAGACACCTTCTGCAAAACAGGCTAGAAGTCAAAAGGACAGGCTTGTCTTGCCCTCGGACATCGGTTTTATCCCTCTGCTTTTGCAGTTGTTTAATGTTGAGACAAGTCAAGTCGAAGCTGTATAATAAATGAATTCCAGCTTGAGATTTGGCAGGATTTGTTTTGCTTGAGGGAAGTTGTTTATGCTAACGGTCCCCCCCCTTGCATGGCTGGATTTATATTATACAGAGTCTTGTCCATCATCTGGATGCTGCCGTAAACAAGATAATCTTGGTCTACCGGGAACGAGGCCGATGCCAATAACTTTAAATAAACACAAGCACCAGCTTTGTATTTACATTGTCTGAGGTAACCGCTGGCAAGAGTTTTTAATGGCGCCGTCGCCCCTCCCTGGCTAAGGTAGTGTCGGCTTTCGGACTGACCTTGTTTGTGGAAGACTCACTCGGGGAAAAAAATTTCATATTTGCCAGATGAGCGCTACACCCAGAGCTGCATTCTTTTGTGTGGTTTTGGCATTTTTTAATTCCATCAAGTTAGCATGACCTCTTTCCGTTCTAGATGGAGCAGGGCACGGGTTGGGGGGATGGGGAAGAGTTTAGACATAAAATGACATCATGGACTCAAGCATTGGAGCCTTCACTGGCAAGGCTCTAGGTGCAAGTGGGCTCCAAGGATTATTTTATTAATAAGGCTATGACTCAGCTGTATGGAAGACATCGGTGCATTAAATTGCATTCCATGCGGAAAATAAATGGAATTTTGCAGAAGTCGGAGTGTCTGTTGCAACTCCAAACCAAGCAACCACAGAAACACACAACTCTTCAAGTAGTGATAAATGATCTCTGTGGTGGAGTGAAGAGAAAAGCCATTTTCCCCCAGTAATCTCCCCTGCAAAAGAGCGAGAACTATGCGGACTGTAAGAGTCACACGCCAATCTCTGTTCAGGAACAGACGGAAAATGTGGCTTGCAGCAGCAATTGTTTGGTTAATATTGCAGCCTTCAAATGCAGGACATAAGAGATGAGCTTCTAAGAGCTGACCATGCTGCTTATGGAAAGTCATTCTGACGAGAGTGGTGTTGGGGGAGTGGGAAAGAGAATCTGAATGTTCCGTGAGGAGAAGCTTAGGAGTGAGGTCTTTGTGGTCCTTTGTTTGAGACTCTTAGGGGTTTGAAAATGTCTCAAGTCTGATTTATAAATCTTCAAACTGAGATGAACAAAAAGTAGTTATGTAATCAAAAAGTCAGGAAACCACTTCATAAGTGTTCACTTTAGGGTGTTTGGCTTAATTTCACACACAAGAAGCAGCTACTAGACTAGTCATTGGACTTGGCATAGTCCGTGGGCACTACATGCAACGGGTGGTTGTAGGCCCTGAGGCTTGGCTTTGCCTCTTTCTGTGTGAGTGAACTCAGGCAAGTTATTTAGCCCATCTGTGACTCCATTTTCACTTCCGCGTGTTAGGAGGAATAATAGCACTCAGCTCATGTGGCTATTGAGAGGATTGAATCAACTTTAGCGTGGCACATTGCAAGCCATTATTGTCTAGTACCATGTGGACTCATAGCAGATGCTCAAAATAGAGAGACCCAATAGGATAGCTGTATCAATGTGGGCTCAGTTGCAGAAAACAGAATCCACTCCAGCTAGCTTCAGTGAATTGGGCTTAATTATGTAAAATGACTTCTAGAATCAGTGGGAGGGCTGAAAAAAATCAACTCTAGGTTGAGCTTTCAGGGATGATCCCCAAAGACACCAAAGGAGCAGGAACTTCCTCTCCAGTAATCAAGAAGCAGTCACTACTGCTGTAGGCTCCAGAAATCACACAGCCCACCTAAACAGAGGCCCTTATGCCTTCTGGTGTCCACAAACTTGCCCAGAAACCGCAGACGCTGCCCCACCTCACTCCCATCCTCCCAGCTTGTCACAAACGTACCTGAGTGGCTAATTCAAACTCCCCTGCAAAAGTTCAGGTGCAAGAGAATTTGGTAAAGTTGATGAGTGTCCCAGCCCCACATGTCGGGGAGGTGGCCAGAAGGAAGGTGGGATAAGGGCTGAGCCCCAGCCACCATGCTCCTACAGTGGTCTCGAAAGGGACACCTGAGGACAGGGAGAGTGGAACTATCGTTATGTTTTTTCTTCTCCCCCTGCCCTCACTCTCTCCTTGGATTCCTTGAACATTTTTGGCCATGAATGAATCCCAATGTGATTCTAAAAACTGTGCTCTAGACTAGTGCTGTAGAGAGTACTAGAAGATTCCAGAAATTTCTAAAGAGAGGGAAAATGGAAAATATGAGCAGAGACAAAGTAGATATTGCTGTACATCTACAAATATTGGAGGGTAGACTTTCTTTTTTTTTAAGTGATTAAAAAATCCTTGGAAGCTCTTTTGTTGTTCAACTAAAGTCAGTTTAGTTTAGCAAACTAAAGTTTACTACGTTTACCCCAGTTTGGAGAAATTTTAAAAGTCTGAAGGCAGAAATTACAATGAGAAATCTGATCTGAAATTGTTGCCGGGGGCAGTAGTCAGGCAGATTAACCAAGTAAAGATTGACAAAAGGGCCAGGGTCTCTGGGTTTAACCCTCTGCTGGGGACCCACTTATGTACACAGTGGGGAAATGGCTGGGGCGGTGAAGAGAAATCCTTGGGACTCCTTGGTTTGGCAGCCCCAGACCAGCGGTGCATAGACCTGTTGGGGAAGCCCCGGTGAGACGGAGAGAACACAAAAATGCGAAGGTTGACAGTGTTGGGACTCAGAAAACAATATCCCCAAATGAAGGCCTCAGAACCACCCTCAAAAGCAAAAGTTTTTCTCTGACCTTCTCCCCTGACACTAGCCATAGCAACTAGGATCCCTCTTCCCCAAGACGGGTCAAGGAAACCACAGCTCCCTTTTCCCAAAGCCAATCATAAAGCCTAAAAATATTCTGTATAAAAAAATTTATCTGACCTACCTTGTTTGACTGTGGGGGAGAGACCTGCCCCACCCCCAGATGGAAGGGATGCTGCTCAGAGAGGCCAAGGAGTCTAGACAGTGGTTTCCCCACTCAGTCAATCAGCATTAGATCACACCCTTTTTGTCCAATCGTATTTCTACACAGTTGCCCATACTTTTTTGTTGAACCTAAGCATAAAAATGGATAATTTCCCCTGTACCTTTGGGTCTTCATTCTGAAGTTTCCTGTGTATACACATTAGATTTGTATGCCTTTTCTCCTATTAATCTACATGTTTTTTTTTTTTTTAAACAGAGTCTCACTCTGTTTCCCTGGGTAGAGTGGAGTGGTGTCGTCATGTCATCCTAGCTCACTGCAACATCAAACTCTTAGGCTCAAATGATCCTCTTGTCTCAGCCTCCTGAGTAGCTGGGACTACAGGTGTGTGCCACCACACCTGGCTAATTTTTCTCTTTTCAGTGGAGACAGGGTCTTGCTCTTGTTCAGGCTGGTCTTGAACTCCTGGGTTCAAGCAATCCTCTCACCATGGCCTCCCAGAGTGCTAGGATTACAGGTGCGAGCCACTGCACCAGGCCTTAATCTACATCTTGTCAATAATTTTTCAGCAAACCTTTTGGGGGCCAAGGGGAACCTCAGCCCCTACAATAGGATTCTGACAGTGGGGGTGTCTCAACAGGCTTTATGTCTCTTTTACGCACATGTTTTGTGGGAATGGACACTGTATATGCCTAGGGGACATTCCCTTTACCTGCTACTGTAAAACCAAAACCTGCCAATGAAGTCCTAATGGAGGCTACAGTTAGGAAAGTAAGGGTTGAGGGAATTAAGATAAATGTTTGTAGGGGACTTGGTGCATTTGAACATGCTTTATGTGACATGGCTGTGTCTCCTTTACCTGACCGCATTACGGGGATGGACATTGCATTTAACTGTGGGATGTTCCCCCTACCTAGTACTGTAAACATGTAAATCTACCCTTTTAGCAATATTAACTGGACATGCTAAATGGGAACCAGTAAGATTCTGAGCCCGCAGCGTGGAGTAGAAGGGAAAGTGTTGGCAGGACACTCTCCATGTGACAGCCCTCTGTGGACTGTTTACGGGGGCTTTTAGCAGAAGCCTGTGAGCACCTCCCGGAATCACGACTGGGACTTTGGACTACAGAATTTCCACGTGAGGGGCATTCACTACCTTACTATCAGACATTCCCTGAAGTCACCCCTGTGACTGAAGGACATAATATGATCTTGAAACCTGAGATTTCCACAGTGTCTTGAGTGACACCAGAGAAAGGCTCTATCTACCAGGGAGAGCAGTGCCCAGAAGAGCTCTGTAATAAAACGGAAATGGTTCGTGCTGGACCATGCTGCCCAGGTGCATGAGGGGACACTCACAAGTGGGCAGCCCCTTTCCCCCTGGACTGCCTCTGGAGTTGTGTGCGGAGGAGTTGGATTCTTTCCACACTTGGGCGGCGCACTACAAACAGCTCCCAACCTACCAACCAAGAGCTGCTTGGTTTGTGGATGGCAGCTCCGAGGTGTATGGACAACATCTTGTTTGGAAGGATGCCACTCTTACTGAAGAAGGTAAAAACAAATCACTTGGTGGGCTGAATTGCAGGCTGTTTTCCTAGCAGTGATGGCAGGGTTAAACAGTGGTAGAAGCCTCTGTGTTTGGGTTTTACTGACGCGTGGGCAGCGGCCAATGGCGGGGCCGCATGGTCAGGCAGAAGGGCCATGGAGACCTGGCCTGTTAAAGGCATGCCCGTGTGGGGCACAGCCTTATGGAAACTTCAGGGGTGTTTTAAAGCAGGAAACGTCAATGCCCATAGGAAATCTCCCCTCCAGGTTTGGAAGGTGTCTGGAATCAACAGATACCCCTGTGTGCTCCCCTGAGCTGGCCACTTGGGTCCGTGAGATGAGTGGCTGTGGGGCAGGGACCGCAGCGGTGGAGAGATGGGCTGAGTCTGGACATGTTCCTGTTGCACCCGCTTAGGCACAAAATGTCAGCAAGAGAGACAGAGACTGCTGGCGGCTATGGGGCAGGCTCCCTGGTGGGAAGGGCTTGACCATGGCTGGCAAGTGAGATGAATGTGGGAGCCCTGGGGGGCCACAAAGGGGTCTTGAGAGAAACAGACACCAACTCTGGGCCGGGCGTTGCTTACCCCGTGGAAGATGCAAATGCTCGGAGTGCTACGGAAGCACCCGAACAGGAGATGTTGCATGGATTTGGACAACCAACTGTTGTTGCTTCAGACCAAGGAGCATATGGTACAGCCTTAACGTCCAATGGTGGGCCAGGATGTCTTTCTCGGAGTAACAGTCTGACGGAGGAGCAGAACAGGCCATTAAAGCATCAGTTAATGAAACGGGGGAACGAAGGCGTGAGGGCTGGCCGGCATGGCTTTGCGAGTGTGTGCTCACACTCACCATGAGAGGGACTAAGTGTCCCTATACGACACTTCTCTGCTGTTCTGGTGGCTCTGGGGCAGAGGGCTTGGGAGGAAATGGTGTGACTGTGCAGTTCTTGCTAAGGGAGGAGTACACTCGTGTAACAACTACAGGTTTTTTCCACGTCACCTCAACTTCTTTTCCCCTACCTGATGCAGTGCCCATGGACTAGGGCAGCAATACCAGTGCTGGAAGCTGGGGTGATTTCTAAGCAAGAAACAGTAACTATATTTTTAAAATTCATGTCAGAATTTCTAAAGACCTAACAGGAGGTGGGTTGTGCCTTTATCTCATCTGGCAAAATCGTCTATACTGCAGATGGTAAAAATAGCCCACAGTTCTGTAATGCTCGTGGGACATCTTCTATCTGGATGCTGGAAGACTGAGGCAGGTACCAGCATTGCTGCTTGCAATCCAGATCAGCACGACGGCTGGTCCCAACATCCGTGACAGAGGCCAAAAAGGTTGGCTATTAATGGAGAGAAGGAGGGATAGTAGCTGAGGAAGGAATAAATAAATGGGTTATGAATTCAGGGAAATCCAATATTACATTAATAACTCAAGAAAGGCTCAGAGCAAGAGATGACCTTGTCTCTTAGCTCAGTTATACCAGATGCCTGAAAGGGAGAAGCTGTGTGTTTGCTGAGACCACTCCTGCTCTTGGTATCTGCCAACCTGAGTGGCCTCACCCTGTGAGACATTCATACAAATATGACGGACTGGACTGATTAGTAATGACTAAATGGGATTCCAGTCATGTGGCAGTGTCTTGTGACTTGCATGTCCTTTTGGTGTAAGGAATTTGTGTTCAAAGACTCGGGATGAACTATGATACTGGGAAATACATATTTGGTCTCGGACCCTGTTTCTGGCATACAACAGCTAAAATCCTTGGACTCTCCAAAGTGATGTCTGTTTGTATGCTAATGAGTTGGCTGAGGACTGAGCCCCTAGGCAGCTTCAGGATGAGGCTGGTCACCTGAAAGACCAAGGCAGGACAGAGGGTTAGGATTCTTAATCCCACTCTCCAACTTCTGGGGAGGGGAGAGGGGCTGAAGTTCAAGTTGATCGCCTATGGCCAGTGATTTAATCAACTGTGACTATGTAAAGAAGCCTCCATAAAAAAAAAAACAACAAAAGGGCAGAGTTCAGAGAGCTGCTGAATAGCTGACCACACGGAGTTCCTGGAAGGTAGCAGCTGGGGTGGGCACAGAAACTCTGCACCCTGCCCATATACCTCACCCTACACATGTCTTCAGCTCTATCTTCTGTAACATCCTTTATAATAAACTGGGAAACATAAGTAGGGTGTCTCCCTGAGTTCCATGTTGTGAGTTACTCTAGCAAATTAATCAAACTCAAGTAGGGGGCTCATGTGAACCCCAATTTATAGCTGGTCAGTCAGAAGCACAGGTAAAGCGACCTGGGGTTGTGATTGGCATCTGAGGTGGGGGCAGCCATGAGGGCTGAGCCCTCACCCTGTGGGATCTGACGCTGTCTGCAGGTAGACAGCGGCAGAATGGAGCTGAAGGACACCCAGCTGGTGTCTGCTGCAAAGTCGATTGTTTGCTGGTGCGTGGGAAACCCCCCGTCACCCCCTACATTTGGTCACAGAAGTCTTCTGCGTTGATTGTTGAGGGGTGAGAACAGAGGACAGAGGAAAAACATTTGTTTTTTCCTCATGGAGGAGTAAAGAACAGCTCCTGGGGTAGGAAATGAGAGAGTGGGTGGCAGAGGTGGCGGCTGGTCTATCGCCCCAGGAAGGGGACGGATGGGAAAGGGCCTGGGTGTGCATGGCCGCTGTGCAGGAACCCCTGACTTGGCCTTTGTTCCATCCTGCGGCTCCTGCTGTGGACTGGAGGAGAAGCTGCCGGGGTAACCATCTCAGCAGGGCGTCACAGACAGGAGGTGGCTGCAGGGAAACCCTGCGAAGGCTCAGGAGAAAGAACTCATTCTCCTCACCGTGGGCACTTGAGGTTAGGAATCTGTGTGTCCTGGTGGGACATCCTGGGACTGTGTGTGCTCTTTATTTCAAACCCAACCAGAACCCCTGAGCTTCCAACTTTTTATTTCTTTGGCAAAATCATCTTCTCATTTCAAAAGGCAGGCGTGTAGGAAGAAAGCAAGCCCTAAGCCTTCTCTCCAGGTAGCTCTCCTCCTGGACGCACCTGGGGCCTTAGAGAACGACTCCAAGTCCAGCTCCGCAGGGGCAGCGAGTGGATGCCAAAGGCAAAAGGAGAGGCACGTAAAACTGACGCAAGCTTTGCCACGCCGCTGGCGTCTGCCTGGGCTGCGGGTTTGGAGGAAATGTCTCTTTACTAAAGAGCTGCCCCCAGCAACTCAGTAGGCCCCGGGGCTCTGGAGCTGTGGGGGGTGAGGGGCAGGGGCTGTGCTCCCTGTCACCCCTGCCCACCCCTGCCCCTCACCCCACCCCAGTTCATTGTACGTAGGAAGCACCATAAATATTTCTTGAATTTAACTGCCTCATTCTCCCTGGATAAATTGGAGCCTACACTGAAATAAAAGTTCAAAAGGAAAAAAATAAAGCCTAACATCTTCCACGCTTCCCACAGCACCCTAGTCAGACGCAGTGTGCTCCGTTTGAAGTTTGTAGGCAAGGAAGGACGGGGCAATGGCAGGGAGAGAGTAAATAATTTTGCCCCATGCCTCCTAAAAGAAGCATACTCCCCATAATCTCATTTTTGTCCGTGCCCGTTTCCCCTGTGTCCAACAATGACTTACTTGATACAAGCAAATGCTCCCTGCAGTCGGGCAGTGCTGGGGCCGTGGCCAGGCGGGTGGGGGCGTCAGCTGGGCACATTGAGCTGGGGGCCACTTGTGACAAAACCAGCCTTATTCTTGGGGAAAATACGTGGGGGTTTTTTCTTGCCTTCCCACACAAAGGTGATTTAAACAATTCCCTTTGGCTCCGACTTTTTCTTCTCTGAAAAGCCATGTTTAGGTGGCCCTGGCTTTTTTGTGAGTTCTCTTTAGTATGGGGTGCACACATGGTCGTAATCCATTTTTTCATCAGCTCCTTGCTAACAAAGGCCCCTGAGCCCTGGAAACCTCCCCCACGGACGCCGATTATGGGTTTCCTGGTGTCAGTCATAGCCGGCTTGTCAGGGTGAGGGCGAGGGAGAGAGTGGTGTGTGTGTGTGTGTGTGTGTGAGAGAGAGAGAGAGAGAGAGAGAGAGAGAGAGAGAGAGAGAGAGAGAGAGAGAGGAGAGAAAGAGGGAGAGGGAGTTCAGAAGCGTCTCTGTGTGTGGTCTGAGGCTACTCCTCATTTCATGAAATACACGCTTCATTCCTGGCTCGGGTTAAACTCAAGCGTCACTGAATGAGTCCCTTATCCACTTTCCAAAACACTGAAGAGGTTTGAAGGGGCTCTGTGGGTAGAATGTTACTATCAGCAAAAGCAAACAAGCCAACGTATTTAGCTAAGCATTTTTTAATATTTATTTATTTATTTATTTATTTATTTTTTTTTACAAGGACAGATAGCTTGGATATTTTTTAATATTTAAACATCATAACCTGCAGCTATTCGTGAACAGTTGTGGCCAACAAGGAGGGACGTTCCTGCAGCTATTCGTGAACAGTTGTGGCCAACAAGGAGGGACGTTCCTCGGGTGGGTCTGCTGTCCCTCTGAGGGGCAGGCCCTGGGGTCCTTGCTGCCTGAGAGCTGGAACTGAGGATGGGGACCTCTTTGGACGGGGCTCCTGAGGCAGCCTGGGAGGCAGCTTGCTGTGGAAATCACTCACAGCTTCTTCATAATCAGATGTGGTTTAAGCCTAACCTAGTGTTTCACACACTTAGAAAAATAAAAGTCCAGGCAGTCCCTCCTTGTGGAAAAGGAAAGCTGTCTGATGGCAGCAGAATTAAAATGCTAAGCTGGGGACGCTGTGGGTGTCCCAAGCAGGGAGCAGGTACAACAAATATTATCCCTGTGTACACCCCCACTCCTGTGACCGACAGCCTGTAAAATTGGCCTGGGACAGACCACAGGCAGGACCCCTCCCTGCCCGGACAGGATGGCACCAGACACCCGCCCTCCAGACTTCATACCACCAGCTGGAAGTGGCTTTCTGGTTTATGGAGCAAGACGGAGCTGTAAAGTTGGTCGTTCTCAGGGCCAGAATAAAGTCAGCGCCCCCACCCCTCCCCTGAGCCAAAGGAGGTTTCTGGAGGCCCCGCCGGGCGCCCCTGAGCCAGCCGGAGCGCGGCCAGGCCTCCCGGGCCAGACTCCCCCGGTGCCGCCAAGGGTCTGAATGGGCCCCCTGTCTGTCAGAGCAAACAAGCTCCCCGGGTGGGGCCGCTTGGGCACAGCCTGGCTCGGAGCAGGCCGGAGGTCACGAGTGACACCAGGTAGGACAGGGGACTTCTCTCTGGAGGTTCCGTTAGGGAAAGCCTGCCAACGGGTTTGCCAAGGAGTTCACTCTGTGCCAGTGTTGTGGATTCACTGACAAATAGCTCCATTCAAGGAAGACGAGGCCCGCAGGGCTCTTCTGAAGTGACTGCCTCCCGTGCCCAGCCAGGGCCTCTCCTGCCCACCCCGGCTGCCACCCAGGCCTCCCCGTCTGGGCCAAGCTCGCCCGATGGGGCTGCCTGGCGTCTAAGCGCTCTGTGTTCCGGGACACGCAGTTTCCTAGCTCCGGCTCCTGTTTTCCTCTCTGTAAAATGTGAGCATTGATATCTGACTTGCAGGCCTGTGGTGAGGCTTAGAAAAAGACCATGACAAGTGTGAAGTGTCACCGCAGAGTCAGAGAACAGCGAACGCTTCATCCCTGCACCCCTCATCTCTTATCTTCTGCAGAGGCAGGACTAGAGCCAGTGTCTTCAGACTCCCAGAAGTGTGTTCTCCCCACTCTTTCTAGAGGCTCCTATACAATGTCATCCCGATTTGGTCCCAGGAACCCAAGTACATTTACTTCAGCATTTAGCTCCTGGTCCCTGTTCATTCACCATGGGGAGAACTCTCTGGCAGCTGGGACATGTCTGAGAGCCTGTGGGCTCAGCCATTAGAGCAGGACTGACACACCAAGCAGACTTCTCCCACTGATGGTCACCAGGACCCAAATTCCAGTGAGGAGACTCTTCTGCTCCTGAAGCCGCCATGTAAATCAGCCTCAGTGAAAAACTGTGGGCTGTCAAAATGACCATGCTATGGACTGAATGTTCGTGTCCCCCTCAAATTCATATCTGTAAGCCCTAATCCCTATTATGGTGGTATTTGGAGGTATTTGGGCCCTTGGGAGATGATAGGGTCATGAGAGTGAACCCCTCATGATGGGATTAGTGCCCTCATACAAAGAGGCACAAGAGAGAAGCTGTCCCTCTCTGCCAAGCAGGGGCACAGGACAAGGCACCTGTCTGTGAACCAGGACGAGAGCCCTCACCAGACATCAAAGTTGCCGGTGCCTTGATCTTGGACTTCTCAGTCTCCAGACCTGTGAGAAAGTCTATTAAGTCACCCAGTCTGTGGTATTTGTTACAGCAGCCTGAACTAAGACCTTTAGTAGCAAACTGGCTGCATAAGTTAAATATAACCATACAATGAAATACAATACAGCCATTATCAAGAATGAACTGGCATGGCTATATGCTAATTTGAAAGGATCTCTAATAAGCAGGAACTAAAAATAAGAAAGGCCAGAGTTGTGGGTATATAATAATTTCTTCTATGTAAATAGAAAGTACATGATCTTTGCTGACTTAGGAATGAGCTCTTTTTATGCCAGGATATAACCATAAAACCTTCTTTGGGGGAGGGACAACTGAGATTTCATTGTATGTTCCTCTGTACTGTTTGATTTTTTTAAAAGTCTATGTACCTGGTGCTTTTAGCTTGGATGAGAAGAACTGCATGTGCTGGCTCCCTGCAGTGAAGGATGCTTGGAGGGGGTGTTGTTTAAAACAAAGGAGTTTATCAGTAGGAGGGAGACAGGAGACCCCTGCCCACATTCAGCGTGTTTGCCACAGTAGGGGCACTTGTAGCTCAAGCTGTTTCTGGTTAATATCACCAGCTTCCAGACAAATGGAACGTATATCACATGCCAATTATGAGAATCTCAAGAAGGAAACTAACTCCCTCTTCTGTCTGTCCACCTACTTGACCACGCCCCACCCATACAACTGTAGTGTCTCCCAAGCAAAGGGAAAAAAGAGAGAAAGGAAGGAAGGAAGGCAGCAATCCTGCTGCCATCAACAAAATACACCCATGGACTAAATGGGGCAGATCCACCCTGCGTTTCCCTTCCTGTCCTCCGTGCCGCAGCTCAGCACTCAGGGGAGGGAGATATAAGAGATGCCGCAGATTGTCTTGCTCACGTGTTGAAAGCCAGTTGTTGGCCATGGGAGAAGTCATTTTTCCTGGCACTCAAACAGAACATAGGCAGTCAGGCCCTCTGGAAGCTGCCAGGCCACTACAAGGTAAAACTGCCACTGTGAAATGCACCTCCTAGAGAGAATCCATCGGGAAGCGTGGTTTCATGTTTCCCAAACAACTCCGACCTCTTCCAGCTCCTCTGCCCTCTGCTTTGAAAGAAATGATGGATTCCAGTCAACCCGTAACTCCTGGCTGTTTCCTAAGGCCAAGGCTCTGTCGTGAGTGTGAACGTGAGGTCGCCCCTTTCCGCACGCGGTCTCCAGTCACTGGAGCATCATCCTACCGGCCATGGGAGAAGCAACCGTAACTATTGCAGGGCTGAACGGACCCAGCCAACAGGCCAGTGCTGTTGTCCAACCAACAGTATCTGCTTTGGGTCAGGCCACCTGGATTTTATTCCTTGGGTTACAAATAGCTGGAGGCTAACTCGGGACAAACCCTTTTTTCTCCTTTGCTCTGTGTCCTCACCCCACGGCAGGTGGGGCAGCTCACACTTGAAGACCATGCAAATGAACTGACCAGGAAACCTCTCTCTGGCATCCGTGCCTAGGTGAGCATGCATATGTTTATTTGGGGGTTTCACTTTTAGGGCTAATGAGAAAAAGCAGTGTTTTCCAAATCGAAGTAGGTGGGAACAGGAAGTGAAAATGAATTTGGAACCAAGGACCCTTGCTGGATGGGGAAGGAGAAGCCATCTTGCCCATGAAGTGCTAAGAGGAGAGAGGAAGTTGGGTGACTACAGGAAAAGAGAGGAAGAGCTCAGAGGCCTCGTCCTTGTTCTGGAGAAAAGAAGGGTCTGAGTGTGGGAGAAGGTATGAGTAAAGAAGATTGACAGGGAAAGGTCCTTGAAATCTCAAGTTGACCAGACCACAGGAAGAGAGAGGGAGCCTCGATTGAGGCGAAGCAGTGGGCTGGCCCTGCAGAAGCTGGAAACTGTGTTTTGAGGTACACCATTGCTGGAAGACGCTTCTCTCTGCTGCCTCCCGGCAGAGTCCTCCGATGCTCTGCTGGTCCCTATGGGATGGTTATAATAAATGCCAACCAGACAGACATCCAGATTCCTGCTCTGCTCCTGGGCTCCCCACAAGTCAGCCACGCTAGGTTTCCAGCTGGTTTTCTAAGGAGCTAGAGATCACGCTGGGGAAGAGCCCACAGAGAGGACGGCAGAGAGGACAGCCAGTGTTTCCCAGCAAGCGCCTTCTGCTCTGCAAAATCCTGTCCCAACGTGCCAGACCTCCCAACACACAAATGAGGGGGAAGTTGGGGTGCCCCAGGGGAAGGAGCAGAGGAAGAAATGTCACCCAAATCTTCTGGCCAGGGAGGGCGGTGCACCCTCCAAGGGGCCCCAGAGTCTGTTGATGCTTACTAGCCAACATTTCTGTGTGACAAGCCACCAGCTCTGCAGCACGCGCTGCTTTAAGCATATTACTCCTAACTCATTTCATGCTCACTTCAGCTCTGCAAAGTAGATGTGTGTGATTATCATCTTAATTTCTACTTTATGGATGAGGAAACCAAGGCAGAAATTGATTTAGTAAGTTGCTCAAGGTCATACAAATTGGAAGTATATTAGTTAACCTATTATTGCCTAACAAATCGCCACAAACTTAGCGGCCTGGAGCAAAGCACATCTACTGTCTCCCAGGTTCTGGGGTCAGGAATCAGGCACAGCTTACCTGAGTGACCTGGCTCAGGGTTCGTCACAGGGCTAGGATCTCATCCGGAGGCTCGACTGGGAAAGAACCTGCTGCTAAGCTCGTGTGGCTGTTGGCAGGTGGCTGTTCCTTGAAAGCTGCTGGAGTGAAAGCCTTGGTTCCCTCCTGACTATTGGCCAGTGGCCCCCTCAAGTCCTTGCTTCTGGGGCCTTTCTATGTGGCCATTCACATGGAGTGGTTTGCAACCTCACTGCCAACCAGGGAGGGATCCTGCTGGCAGGAAGTTACAATCTTATGCAACATCACTGCAGAAGTGACACCTCAACACTTTCACCATATACTACTGGTTAGGAGCAAAGACACTCAGCAAGAGGGGCTGCACACCGTCAACACATCAGCAGGCTGTCTGTGAGTCTGTCTGGCACAGTAAGCCATGTGCTATATTTAAACCCAGGCAGCTTGTCACCAAACCTTATATACCCAACCACTACACTTTTCTTGTTGTTGTTGTGTGCTATCGCCCCGATCTTGTGCCTGTGTCTGTGTCTCTTTTTTGTGCCCCCATCCCTGGCTGTAGAGCCCTACTGAGAAGTAGCAAAGCTCTGCTGGCTTCTGGCCATCAAGCTGCTGATCAATGAATGAAGGGCACAAACCACTGTCAGAGGATTCCTAAACGCCCCAGACTCCATCAGGAAGGGCTCCAACAGGAAACAGAAGGCACATTCAAATTAGGATAATTAGAGAAGAGTTTCTTTACAGAGGGGCTACTTACAGGGTGTGGGCAGGTGCAGGCAGGCCATGCAGGAGCCCTGGGCTGGAGCAACTGAGCTGTCACCAGCCCCATACCCAATGGAGTGAAGGGCAGAAGCACATTTATGGTTAAAGTGAGGCAAGCCTACTGCTCTGTGTCATTCTGAAGCTTCTGTAGGTTCCCACTTTAGACCCAAAGCCCAGAACTTAACCTATGATAACAATACTATTATTATTGCCAGAACTATACCACCAAGTTATATCTTACTGATCACTTTAAATGTATTATCTTAAATATTAACCTGTTTTTCAAGGAAGCCATCGATTTTGTTGGAACTTAAGGGAACCATCAGAAACAAGGAATTCTTAAACAAAATTCAGTGCTTTCCTAGCCTGGGATCACTATTCTCCCTGGTTCTCCTTTTTCTAGGCCTCTTTTCCACTGAGAAAAGTTAGGAAATGCACAGGAGATGTCCAACAGAGAGCCCTGCTCGGGCTGTGCTTAGGAGAAGCGAAAATGTATTGCTCAGCTTATAATATTAGTCTAATATACCATCCATTGGAGGGTTAGGATACATCATCCGTGCACTGGAATACTAAGCAGACACTAACAAATGTTGTGAAAGACTGCAGTTGACATAAAAAGCCACTCATCACATGTAATTGAGCGAAAAAAAAAGCCTTACAAAAGAGAATCATAATGAGACCCCATTTTGAAAGAAATCAAATATGTGTATATTCTTAAATTGTGAAGAGTAGATATGAAAATGATATCAATAGTTAACTTATCAGGTGGGGTTCCAGGTAATTACCATTATCCTTTTATGTATTTGCATTTTGTAAATGAACATGTACTCATCATGTAAAAAAAAAAAAACAAAAAACAAAAAACCAGTACCTTATGACAGAAAATCCATGCTTATCACACCAGGGAAATAGACTGAAGCCTGAGGCACAGCTGTCAGGACCCTAGGCATTCTGTATCCTCTGCACCTTGTGCAAAGGGAACCCCTCACTGCAGCCCTTGGCTCTCCTAGTGCTTGCTAGGAATATGTTTGGGACGCAAGATGGGCCTGCCTGGACATGACGGGCCAGTCTGAGCCAGGCCTGTGCATGTGATCTTTCCTCTACAACTTTGTGTTTTTCCCTTTTATGCCCTCTCCCTTACCTCTAAGGGAGGTTATAGTGGTTATAGTGTTGGTGTAGACCCTGAAATTCTGATCTTGCAACTTAAATCTGGCATTGGTTTCTTCCTTCTTTATGTTTCGCTTTCTATTTGCAAAATGATGATGCTGTTTCTGGTCTAGGAAACAAACAGGCCTTTCCTTCAAGGTGTCCCTGGACTCTCTACCTGCATTCCCATCCATTTCAGCTGGGCCCCAGATCACAGAGATGAACCAGCAGTTCCTCTGTCCACTGTCATCACCAGTGACCCTTCCATTGCAGACACTGCAATCATATATGAGCTTCTGGGTTCCCACAAAGCACCTGAAGTGACCTCATTCTGGAGATGTGTGGTCTAAGTTCTCAGCATGTCCCTCTCTTATGTGAAAAACATTGGAGTCCGATCAAGGTGGGGCCAGAGAGGGGGCTTCCATGTGTAGGTCCTGGTGTGCAGCAGCCTGGGGAGAGATCCAAGAGGTAGTAGCACTTTGGGGGCAGTTCGTGTAACACAAGGCTCCATCTTCTCAATGGCCCTAGTGCTTCTCTCCTGAAGATATCAGTTTCTTCCCCATTTCAGTTACCTTTCCATTTCCAGACTTCATTATGCTTCCTAGTGAGAAACATCCTTGAAACTATGATACTCTGACGATGAAGGGATTCCCTTCTCAGCATCTTTTCCTGGCCTTGCTTTGAAAGGACAAAAGGCTAGAGAATATTTGATAGCTAAATGCCCAAGTGTTAAACAAATGAACCTATTCTTTTTCTTCCAGGTACAATTTCCCTGCCTATGGAATATCTTTTCCATGCCTCATTAGGCTCATTCATACCTTAGATTTGACATTGGTATTCTCATACAAGAGCTGAACAAGTGAAGTACACTCAACCCCAAAGACCTATGTCAAGGTCAGAATCAGGAAGCATGGGGGAAACTCTCCATCTCCCGTAGGCTGTGAGGGTGATGGCTGGCCTCCACCAGAACACGTACTACCTCAGGTTCCCATGAGCCGTGGCCCATGGCCTGACAGAAAGGTTCTTGAGCTGTGAAAAGGCCAACAGAAAGACCACCAGAAGGCTGGAAGGGAGGAGAAACAGGAAATGGCCAGTGATATATCCAGGTAGTAATATTCAGGGGAGCAGCATCTTTAAAAGGCACCACACTTAGGGACAAGGCTAGGGCTTGGACTGGGACCTGACTGGACAGTTCATTAGTTGGAGGAATGAGTCACACATAAAGGCCTCCACCTCCAAACAACAGTAATTAAGATGGTATGGTCCAGCCACAAAGATAAACTTAGAAACCAATGAAATAAAATTGAGAATCCAGAAACATACCCATGTGTCTATGCACAATTGATTTTGGACAAGAAGCTAAGACAATTTGATGAGGAAAAAGTAGTCTTTTTAACAAATGGTGCTGAGACAAGTGGTTAGCCACATGCAAAAGAACCTACACCACATATAAAAAAATTAACTCAAACTGGAGCAAAGACCTAGATGTAAGAGCTAAAACCATAAAACTGTTAGAAGAAAACATAGGGGTAAATCTTTATGACCTTGGATCTATATCTTAGATATAATACTAAATGCATATGCAACAAAGGAAAACAATTGATAAATTGGACTCCATTAAAATTAGAAGTTTTTGTGCTTCAAAGGACTTCACCAAGAAAGTGAAAAAGTAACCCACAGAAAGAAGAAAACATCTGCAAATCATATGCAGCTGATAAGGGAATTGTATCAATAATATAAAAAGAATTTCTACAACTCAATAATAAAAAGCCAAATAACCCAGTATAAAAATGAGCAAAGGATCTGAACAGACATTTCTCCAAAGAAGACACACAAATGGCCAATAAGGACATAAAAAGATGCTTGACATTATTAGTCATCAGGAAATGCAAATCCAAACCACTCTCACTACTATGGCTAGAATCAAAAAGTTAGACAATAACAAGTGTTCACAAGGAGGTGAAGTAATTGGAACCTTCATACATTGCTGGTGGGAATGCAAAATGGTTAAGCCACTTTGGAAAACAATCTGGCAGTTCCTCAAAAGGTTAAATAAGGAGTTACTATGTGACCAGAAATTCTACACCTACATGTATATCCAAGATAAATGAAAATGTGTGTAAACAGAAACTTGTGCACAAATGTTCAGAGCAGCCAAAAGGAGGAAACAAACCAAACGTCCATCAGTAGATGAATGGATACACAAAATACGGGATACCCATACAATGCAATGTTATTCTGCATTTATTCAGAATAAATACATGCCCCCAGAATTGTAGGGGGCATGAGAAATTTGGAGTCCCATCAAGGAGGGGCCAGAGAGGGGGCTTCCATGTCTAGGTGCTGGTGTGCAGCAGCCTGGGGAGAGCTCCAAGAGGTAGTAGCACTTTGGGGCAGTTCGTGTAACACAAGGCTCTGTCTTCTCAATGGCCAGCAGGTGTTGAATGAGGTTTCAGGGAGTTTGCACAGGCAGGGCCTCCATGGTTGAAAATCCCTTATTAGGCGGTTTTTAAAACAATTGGATATGTACAATTTTGAGTTTGGTGTCGGTGGGCTTTTGAGCTAAAAGAGTCTCAGCCAGCAGTGAAGAGGTGAACAACCTAGAGGCCACTACTCAGGGGCCGTCTTTGGCTCATTTGCACAACAAGAACGAAGTGCTGACATGTGCCCCAGTAGATGACCCTGACAACATCAGGCTGGGTGAAAAGAGCAGGACGCGAAAGACGGCGTATGATTGCGTATGAAATGTACAGACTAGGCAAGCCCACAGAGGCAGACAGGAGACTAGGGATTGCCAGGGCTGGGTGGGGCTGAGGAGCGTAAGGGGTGATAGCTGGAGCCTACAGGGTTTCTTTGTGGGGTGATGAAAGTGTTCTAAAGCTGATTGTGGCGATGGTTGCACAACTGTGTGAATATACCAAAAACCATGGAATTGTGCACTTTAAATGGGTGAATTGTATGGTATTCAATTAAAGCTGCTCTCCAAAGAAAAAACTATTAAAACTTAAAAAAAAAAGAAGTCTCCACCCACAGGCTATGTTCTCTAGCACTGATGTTTCCGTGTTAACTAAGCAGACTGGCCCTTTCTTTCCCAACAACATATGACCTCAAAAACTGCTGAACAGGCCCTGCTTTTATCAAAGATCCACTGCTGCTCCCCAGCACAGCCACATCCCCAGGTCTGGATTTTCCAGTGATGTGAATATTGTACCTAGGTTGGTGAGGAGTAACAGAACACGCATATTGCTTTTTTAAAAATATAGTTCAAACTTACAAAAAACTTACTAAAAATCTGCAGGAATCGTAC